CCCGCCGTGATTTTTAACCCCCCGGCCCGGGGGCGCGAGCCACGGTCGACTACGTGGGAGTCCAGTGACATAGCCATTACGCTAACTGCTGGTTCCCCCCCCACCTTTAAAAGTTTTCTGTCATAGGACACGTGCGCTCCCCAGAGAGAAACTGACAGAGAAAGGGATAGTAACCACTATGCCGTCTGCTGGTCCTGACGAACCCCTTTCTATCACTGTTGCCACAGGCTACGTTACATATTCTGCCATCCGCCTTCAAGTTGAGGCACTAGAGTAAATGCAGAGGGATCCCAGTGAGTCCCACTTAGTACACATAGCCCCACAGACCAACACACACTCTCCTACAAAGTAGGGTTTTTTCCTCCTCCTGATTGCCGGTTAAATACAGAATTTTAATTTCATAGGTTACCAATAAGGGGTCATACAAGATAGGGAATCAAGGATGAGGAAAAAAAAGCAAAACATATAGGAAACAAAAAATGGAAAATCAATGTTGACGATCACATGTATGCTGATGTGCTTGATTGAGCCAATATACAGTGTACTCCGGATGGAAAATCTCATGTTGTATGTTGTAATGATGTACAGTGAATGAAAGTAAATAAATAAAATAATAAATAAAAACTAAAGTCAACATATATATCCAGCATTTCCATCTAAGCTCATCCTGAAATCAGTTACAAGGAATGGCCTAACAAATGCTAGGGGAACTTTGCAGTTTTTACGGCTATTAAAACTGCATCTTGCACACTGACGTCATCGTACATACAGGGCAGAGTCAGCTTTTATATTTGCATTTATTCTTCATTTGATTTTTAACACACTACTATAGATGAATAGTAAAACCAATACAGTAACAAATAGTGCGTTAACTCATTCACTAACATGCCAGCAGTGAGTGTCATTTACTGGACCCTTAAGAGGTCTGACACTAGACGCCACCTCAGGGCATGAAAGAGGGCCAGAAGATAACATTCCATGGTGAAGGAGACCAAAAGCCAGGACTGAAGTCAGGAGATATAATCATTGTACAAGATCGGAAAGGTCATGCTGTTTTTACCCAGCGAGAAGAAGACCTTTCCATGTGTATGACATACAGCCAGTCGGAACATTGTGTGGCTTCCAGAAGCCAAGTTCCACTCTTGACAACCGAACCATAGTCATCACCTCATCCAGGTCAGATTGCCAAGCATGGAGATATCAAGTGTGTGTCAAATGAAGGCGTGCCAATTTATCATAGACCATGTGGATAGGGTCTCCTGATCATTGAATGTAAGGTCAACTTCTAAACTTCCCTGAGAATGACTTTCTGTCTCCTGAAAAACTCTACTTGCTGGAAAATCTTCTACCTGAGAGGAAGGAAGTAGGAGAGGCCAATGAAATGGACCAGGTTGGACTACTGGACTTTGATCCAAATCAGGAAAGACAGTGCCATTACAGTGGAGAAGCATATGAGGATAATGAGTCTCATTTTCTTTTAATAGCATCTATTTTTATGTTTTCATTGTTTTTGACCATTGTTTTCTTTATTTCCATGATAAATGTGCGCTTGAGTTTTTCCATAATACAGTCCTATCTGTTTCTCACCCTCTTTTTGATTTATTAATAAGATTTTTCGATTTTATTCTTTAGCTTGAAGATGATATTATTGTCAAACAGAACTATTTTAATACTATAAAAAATTTTGCACTTCAACTTTCTTCAGAGGAATGGATGATTCTAGAGTTTTCGCAGCTGGGCTTCATTGGTAAGAATAAGTGTCAGATTTGTCTACTTTTCAAAAATAACTCTAACTCTTAGTGTCTTAACCCTGTGGCTTTTATTGTCTTAATGTTGACGTTTTTCTATGGTAATGAATTGCTTTTGAGAATTGTTAACTTAAGTCTAAATACTTCTTTGTGTGAAATGATGAGTCGACCCAATAGCATTTAGAAACTTAAAGGAGTATAGTACATACCCCAGAGCTCTGTACTGTGCGTGTTTGGGGACTTGTTTGATTTTTTTTCTTTAAGTTTTGTTATAGAGCACATGCTCTCATGGTGCATGTGTGTGTGTGGGGTGGAAATGAGAAATCATTCTCCAGGGAGATGGCCATGCCACCATCGCTTCTGCTCCATTCTCCTCTTGGGATTTTGGGCATGCATGCATGCATGCCTAGTGTGATTTTCAGTCCACTGAGTCCAGGACTCAAACCACTTGCTTGGCCATGTGGGATCCAGCTGCCTTAACCTCCATGCCACTTGCTGGCCTAGTTTGATTTTTTTTTTTTCCTCCAACACTTTCAGTTATTTTCCTATTGAAAGATTGGGGTTCTTTGAAAAAGGATACCACGTATAGGTTTTGATATATGTATTCCTGATATTTTTATGCAGTACATGAAGTTCTCTCACGCAGTAATTAATTTTTAAATAGTTCTTTAAACATTTATTTCTTTTGTGAGCGAGTGAGAGAACAGGCCAGCACCTCCAACAGCATGTCAGCACCACAATCTGCCCCATCTCAGCCTCCCCTGCTCATGGGCATGCAGGTCCTTCCACATTCAGGGAGGTCTCTAGTCACAGGCCCAGGACACCACATGTGTCAGCTTGAAGACCGCCATGTTTTACCACTGGACCATCAGCCCGTCCCCAGCGTTTTATTTTTATTTGTTTCTTCCATTAACTTGTTGGGATACTGATTTTAAAACATTTTTCCCCTTATGTTTTTAAATCAGTCAACTAAGAAAAAGGATTAAAGCTGAAGCACTGAAGGAAATTTACAGATTTTAACAATACTCAGTATATTTTACTTTCTATATGTAGTACTTTAAAATGTTTCATTATTAGAGGTGGGCCCTGTGACCTAGTTGATCTTTTAGTTCAAAACTTACTTTAAGAATCAAAAAACGTTTAACTATGAAGGTTTCGATAAAAACAAAATTGAGATTTCTTGTTTGTTGCATTCATTGATTTAAATAGAAACGTTCCACCTAAACCTCTATGTTTCTTTTTTTACAGGAAGAATCTTAGTAAGACAGGAGAGAAAAGTCTCTGACTCCCATTTTGAATGCTTTGAACCAGTAATTAGATTTTGATAGACATTATAATATTGGGGGTTCTTCAAAAAGCTCATGGGAAATACGTAGTATGAAAAAACTACCCATGGATTTCCAACATCTTTGGCACCAAAATAAACCATCACTCTATTTTTCCACAAACCTTTTGACATCCCCTTGTAATGCCAGGAGGCGTCTACTTCTGTCTATACCCAGGTGGCAGCCCAAGAGGACATTTAGCTAAGAAGAGTTTATTTTTTGAGGGTATGTTTCTGGTCACACAGGTGGGAAATGACTCAGGAGGACTTCCATCGAGGCACCTGGGGCAGTGTATTCAGTGTGCACGGGTCGCTTATCTGAGCCATCCTGGGGTTCGGTTTCTTTACTATAGCTATTGACTGGGAATGTCTTTTCAGGTAAAATGTTTCAAGCACCGGACCTCACTCTGATTGTAGAATTCATATTTATGTTTTATAAGGAGAAACCCATTGATTGGCTCTTGGACCATATTCTCTGGGTGAAAGTCTGCAATCCCGAAAAAGATGCAGTAAGTTAATTCTTTCTGTGGGTGGAGATGGCTTCTTTTCTACAGTTCAAGAAAGTGACTTTTGGGAGCAACATTTTGCCAAAGAATAGTTAAATGTGTTACTGAAAGGAGATGGTGTTTCCAAGCAACATTTCACATGTATACCTTCTTTCATGAACCATTAAAATATTCCTGTGTTAGGAAGATATTTATTTATTTATTTATTTATGTATTTCAGAAAGATTTTTGGTATAGGGCACTTGTGCTCACCAGAGACAGAAAGTGGGAGGTGGCAACACTGCAATCCTTTCTCTATTCTCCTCTCGGGATCTTGGGCGCGCGCGCACACACACACACACACACACACTCAGAGTGAGTTTTAAGCCTCTGAATCCAAGACTCAAACCACAGTTGATTACGTGGGAGTCCAGCAACTTAACCATTACGCCATCTGCTGGTCTTCCAGGATGAATTTTAAGTAGCAGCAGAAAATCCTATAAATGAGCCTGTTTTGGGATGAAGACCTTCCTGTAAATTGCCAGTAAATGTTTTTGGTAATTTGTTACTGTAGTCTGTAGATGTTGATCACATCCATCCTGGGTGGTATGTTTTCATCATATGCCCCGTCAACTCTGTTTTTGCAAGTAGTTTGGGGACAGTATCAAAGCCTGACATACCCGCAAATAAGGAATGAAACAGAAGTAATAGTTTATGCCTAAACACTGACAGGTCAAAGGACCTTCCAGGGTGTTACTTGCAGGCAACCATCATCCGTATTAGACTGACTTTGGAGATGAACGGTGGCAGTTAAGTAGTGAATGGTCATTTTGCTTTGATCATTCAGAGAGCAAGTAATTTACATGGAAATCTGATTTTAAAAAGTAATTAGATATGCTTTTGTTGAGCCATTTGAACTGTACCTTTGAAAAGCAGCTTTTTATGTGGTGGAAGTATAAACAAGTCACGAGCGCACGCATCCTTGAAAACCAATGCCAGTTCTGACTTGTAGTGATTAAGTATTTATTATGGGCACTTATCATAGGGCCGGCCTGCCACTCAGTGCGGCAAATTACCACTCAACTTTATGACTTTATATTCCCTAGAATAATTTGATCATCCCACCTGCCCGTTTTTAGGATGCAACCTTTTGGTATCCGGAAGCTGTCATTCCATTTCTTTGTTTATTAAAAAAAAATTAGAGCAAAATACAGAATATAGGAAAATAGCAAAGCATCTGTTTTCCAGCAATAGTTGAACATGTCAGTTGATTCAAAAAAATTTTTTGGGTTGTCGGAAAAGTTATGACGTATTTTTCTTTGCAAAAACACATCATGGCTCTTTTTTTCTTCTTTTTTTGGAGAGGTTTTTGCTATAGGGCATGTGCACTCACCAGAAAGAGAGAGAGACAGACAGACAGAAAGCAAGAAATCACCCCTCGGGGGGATGGCCATGCTGCAATCCCTTCTCCTCCATTCTCCTCTCGGGATCTTGGGCACGCACGCATACACGCCCAGAGTGAGTTTAAGCCACCGGGTCTGGGACTCGAACCGCGGTCGACTACACGGGAGTCCAGCGACATAGCCATTACGCTAACTGCTGGTCTCGCATCATGGCTTTTCTGATGACTCAATAATTTGTCAGAGGGCATGTGCATTTTTCTTTTAATTAGAGAGGGAGAAGGAGGACCCCCCTCCTTCCCGCCAATTGAGGCATAGTCATGCTGCAATCCCTTCTCCATTTCTCCACTGTCTTGGGAATTTGTGCATGCGTGCATACGCATGCCTGCTTGATTTTTCGAGCCACCAGGCTGGAATTTGAAGCACATGGTCGGGCAGGTAGGGTCCAGCTTCCTTAACCAGTAAATCACAGAGTTGGCCCAAATAAATAATTTTGAAAATCTAAGCCTTTACTTGTATTTGCATTGTGATTTACAGGAATTGTTATCATAGGATGCAAAATAGTTAATGCCACCTCCACGTTCTTCCCACGTACTCGAGTGTGGTAGTAATGTGTCCTGCGCAGTGACCTGATAGGCGGGCAGGTTCTAAAATGAGCCTGCGTGGTGAGAATCCCACAGTGAACGTGAGAACCCTGTAAACACATCACCTGCACGTTTGTGCACACGCGCCGCTGGGCTGTTTTCTGTCCCTCCACTCTTCCTCAGTCTGTTTTTCTGTGGCTCTTCATCTTTCAGCCACTTCCCCTGGATGTCAAGGAAGCTGCCACCACATGCGGCAGCCACCTGGACAGGTCACGGTGACAGTGGTCTGGAAAGCTCTCGTGTCGTGGCTCCTCTGGGGAATGCTTCCTTGCCTCTGGAGCGGGGCTGGGCACGGGCACCACTGGCATTCTCTACCCCCACCCTGCTCCTCTTTTTCTCCCCTTCCTCCTCTGTCTCCCTCTCCCCCTCAACTTTTTTCTTCCCCTTTATTCTCCCTGCCTGTCCTGCTCTGTCCTCGTTCTTCCACCTTTATTCTAGGAATAGTAATAACTCCAGTGAGTTGAAACCACTTGAGAAGAATTATTCGTTTTAACAAACCCAGTAAATGACGGGAAGTCTTCCAGAGTGAAGTGCTTTATACAGGTGTATACAAGTCACTGAAAATGAAGTTGTCGTGTTTTTGTTTTTCCCCAAACATGTTACAAATAGCCCTGTAAGCATCACAGGTTTCTTGGTCCTGAGAGCGGTCACGTGCAGTGACCGGGCACAAGGACCAGTTGCAACGTCACGAGGTCCCATGAGCTGAAACATGGGGGTACCTCAACTGTGTTGAGATGGACTTGTCCATGGAACTTTTTTTTTTGAGAAAGAGTGATTTTGCTGTAGGGCGCATGTTCTTCCCAGAGAGAGAGAGAGAGAGAGAAAGCAAGAGATCATCCCCCAGGGGGATGGGCACACCATGATCCTTTCTCCTCCATTCTCCTCCTGGGATTTTGGGCATATACACATGCGCCCAGTGTGTTTTAAGCCACTGGGTATGGGACTCGAACCGTGGTCAGCCATGTAGGAGTCCCATGCTCTAACCACTATGCCACTTGCTGGCTCTGTCCATGGAACTTTTAATATCCTTTAGTTGCTTGGGTGAAGTAATTGCCTCATTTCAAATTGTTTTCAAGCAACAACATGTACCTTTTATTATTTTTAAATTGTTCATTATATTATCTAATGAAAGATACTTCGTATGCTTGAGCCAAACCTGTCATCTACAGTGTGTGCATTTTAATACTGAAAGTCAAATTTTTATTGGCATAACTCGAAGGATGATTGAAATTAGCTTTTCACTTTTCCCTTGGCTGTGCTTATTTTTAATTTCTGGATCATGGTTGTTTAGTGAGAAGGTAACAAATTGATTCGGGACCAGTAGTTGGTGTAGTGGTTATGTCCCTGGACTCCCATGTAGTCGGCCGCGATTCGAGTCCCAGACCCGTTGGCTTAAACTCACACTGGGCGCATGTGCGTGGTGTGCCCAAGATGCTGAGAGGAGAAGGGATTGTGGTGTGGCCATCCCCACTGGGGGCTTATTTCTTGCCCTCTGTCTCTCTGTCTCTGTTGTTCCTGGTGAGCACATGTGCCCTATAGCAAAAACATCTCAAAAAAAAAAAGAAGGTAGTAAATTGATTAGTGCCTCAGAGAGGGCCATAAAAAACACAGGATTTGGGACTAGGATTTATAGTTTACTTTCTTTTCAGTCTTCTTTTTTTTAATTTTTTTTTTAAATTATTTTACTTTATTTATTTATTTCAATTTGACCAGGGGCGGGTTGGGGGGAGAGAGATAGAAAGTGACAAGGCAAGCTGCCAGGTCTGGGAGTTGAACCGTGGTCAGCCATGTGGGAACCTAGCACCTTTAACCACCACGCCCCCTGCCGGCCCCCCTTTTCAGTGTTCTTTGAAACAACTTCTTATTTTCCAGATGAGGATAGGATTTCATTTTATCCGTCATACTAACATGATTTTTTTTTTTTTAATGTGCAGAAACATTGTGATAGACAGAAAGCCAATCTGCGAATTCGCTTCAGACCTTCCCTCTTCCAGCATGTGGGTCTGCATTCGTCACTATCCGGAAAAATACAGAAACTCACGGTTGGTGGTTTAATTTTAGTTTCTCAGGAACATACAGTTAGTTATTCAGTGTGTAATTATTGCTTTTCTTCTTAGCTATAAATAAACTTTGTTATTTAGTAGCACATGTGTCTTTCTCCCTAGGATAAAGATTACATGAAGCCATTACTTCTTAAGATCCACGTGAACCCACCCGCGGAGGTCTCTACTTCCTTGAAGGTCTACCAAGGACATACACTGGAGAAAACTTACATGGGGGAGGATTTCTTCTGGGCTATCACCCCCGTAGCTGGTGACTACATTTTGTTCAAATTTGATAAGCCCGTCAATGTAGAAAGGTTAGTGATTATTGAAATATGTTTGGTCGTTTGACTCAGACCTCTTATTCATAATGGGATTTTTGATGGGCTTTTTCTTTTGGATGTAAGAGATGGGAGGAGAAAGTGGGTTTCAAAATATCAGGCTATAAATGACAGTTAATACAAGTGAAGAATAAAATGGGTCTGTTTCAGATATAATATTGGAATTTAGCATGTTTGGTAAATTCTAATAGTATCTCCAGACTTTATTGGTATACGTTTTATGTGTAACTTTCAAAAGTCTCAGATTGGCTTTCATTCTTTTTGTCCTAGGATATCTTTAAAATTTGACTGGGGGAACCAGCAGTTAGCATAATGGCTATGTCGCTGGACTCCCATGTAGTCGACCGTGGTTCGTGTCCCGGACCCGATGGCTTAAAACTCAAGCCGGGCGCGTGTGCGTACGTGCCCAAGATTCCGATAGGAGAATGAGGAGAAGGGATTGTGGTGTGGTCATCCCCCCTGGGGGGAGGGGGGTATTTCTTGTTTTCTGTCTGTCTGGTGCCCTATAGCAAAAAAAAAAAACCCTCTAAAATAAAAATTAATTAATTAAAAAAAAATTTGACTGGGAGCCAGTTGATTAGCCCAACAATTTGAAATGATAAATTTGATGGACCATGACTGTTTGTAGTCATTGGTTTTACAGATGCCAGACTGTGCACCTGGGGGGATTTACAACCCCTTCATGATTTTCAGCATTTATGTTCATTTTGCAAACTTGAGGACGTTTCTCTCTCTTTCTTCAGCACTCAGGACTCCCTAGTCTTTCCCAGCTCAGTGTGTTCCCCTGCATGTCTGTGGCATACTTAACACACGCAGCTCTCTGGGGCAGGGCAGATTATTTCCTGTGTCCTTCCGTGAGGGCCTGTTTGAGACTCCACAGCAAGCCAGGTGGAGTAATTGTATTCAGGAGGGTCATAAACAATGCATAGCCGTACTGTGATCTTACTTGTGTTCTCATTTTACTTTAAACTGATTCCGAAGAGGAATTTAAGCCTTAGAAGTGCATTAAGGCTCAGCCTTAGCAGCACAGGTGGTGGTGAGCTGAACTGGGAGCCACCTGACGGACCGGAGGTTCAGACCTCTAGCCCAATACGCCTGAAACCTGCCAGGCATGTGCGTGCGTGCCCAAGGTCCTGAACAGTTGGGAGGCTAGTGGGGAGCGGATCGTAGCGTGTTGAGACCCTGTCAGGGGTTTGCTCCCTGTTGCATTCATTATCACAAATTAAAAATAAATAGTTTGTTTTCTTTTTTTTTAATTAAAAATTGGAGCCGGCAGGTTGTGTGGTTGGTGGTTACAGGCGGTGGACACCCACATGGCCAACTTCAGTTTGAGTCCCAGACCTGGTGGCTTGCTTTCTCATTTCCCCCCTCTCTCCCTTTCTCTCTCTGTCCCCCCTCTGGTCAAATTTTAAAAATAGATAAAGTTAAATAATTATTTTTAAAACATTAAATTTTGGGTAGACATGGTATAGCAGTTAAGTCGCTGGACTCTCACCTGGCCACCCATGCTTCAAAGTGATGCCAGACATGTGTGCATGCATGCCAAGATCCTGGGAGGAGAAGAGAAGAGAAGGGATTGTGGGGTGGCCATCCCTCCTGTAGGGTGATTTCTTGCTTTTTGTCTGTCTCTCTTTCCTCTGTCTCTCTGGTGGGTGCACATGTCCTATAGCAAAAAAATCTCAAAAAAATAAAAAATTTTAAAATTGGGACCAATAGGTGGCATGGTGGTTAAGGTGCTGGACTCCCACATGGCCAACCATGATTCGAATCCTAGACCTGGTGGTTTAAAAATCATGCTGGGAGCATGCATGTGCATTCCCAAATCTTGAGAGGAAAAAGGGAGGATTGTGACATGCCCTTCTCCTCTTTGGGGGTGATTTTTCACTTTCCTTCTCTCTGTCCTAGCAAGCAAATGCACCCTATGGCAAAATCCTAAAAAGTAATCAAATAAATAATAATTAAGAAGTGGGAATAGCCCTAGAAAAACATATAAACATACTTTTGAATAATATTTTGTCCCCAGATGAGTATATATTCGTCTTGTCGTTAGTCTTTATTTTTATACCACATGGATACTGGTTTCCACTCATGGGCATCGTGAATGACACAGGTGTCTCTCAGTCGGTGTTGGCGAAATGAGTGATGATGTCTCCCCACAGGGGAGTGCTGTGGGCAGCTGTTCAAAATAGTGATGAGATCAGTTAATGGGAAAACTTTTTGATTCATACACTGGGGGGGAGGGAGGCAGAGTGTGTAACTTTGTATAATAACTTCATAGAGCATTCTATAGATTATAACAGTCTACATATAGAATTATAAAATATATAGGATTCGTTTTTTTCCTAAGAGATGTTTGTCTAAGGGTGCATGTGTTCATGAGAGAGACAGAGAGACAGAAGAGAAGTGAGAAATCACACCCCACCCCACCCCACCACCCCCTGAGGGGGGATGACTACACCTCAACTTTTCCTCTCCATTCTCCTCCTGGAATCTTAGGTACGCACACACAGGCTCCCAGTGTGGGTTTCAAGCCACTGGGTCTGGGACTCGAACCGTAGTCGGCCATGTGAGAGTCCAGCACTGTAACCACTACGCCATCTGCTGGCTATGTGCCCTTCCATCATTAGTGTACGAGTGATTCAGTTCTTGGCATCCTCACCAGCATTTAGTGTTGTCGTAATTTAAAAATTGCAGCCACCCTGACAGGTCTGAGGTGACAGGTCACACTGTGGTTTTCATCGATATTTCTGACTAACGACGCTGGACCTGCATTTATGTGCCACCTGTGCTTCCTCCTTGCTGAAGTGTCTCTGTCTTTGGCCCAATTTCTGATTGTTGCTTTGTTTTTTATTATTGAGTTTCGAGAGTTCTTTACATGTTTTAGGTTTTTTTTTTTTTTGGTTAGGTTTGTGATTTATAGATATTTAATCCCCATCTGCAGCTTGTCTTTTCATTTTCTTTTATTGTGTGGAATAAAAAAATTGTTATTCTTTTATTTTGTAGATAAATAAAAATATTTCCATTTATCTTACATATCATGCTTTTGATGTCAAGTCTAAGAATTCTTAGCCTAGTCTTACTTCCCAAAGATTTTCTTGTTTTTTTCTTAACATTTTCGATTATTCCTGTCAAGAGGTTTATATATTTAAAGTATTGGAAATAACAATATAACAGTGCAATATTTAAAGTATTGGAAATAACAATATAACAATGCAGTCATTTAAAATAACCTGTGAGTATATTATTAGGCTAAGCGACAGCCATGCCAGTTCCTGACACATCACCCTGGGGGTTGCACCCTTACGCTTTAACATCCCTGTTAGTATCCATAATCCACACGCCACAGCTTCTGTGAGTTCTGGTGTTGTCCACCTTTGGTAGAATCTCATTTATGAAAAAAAAAAAAAAAAAAAAACTTTAGGGCTGGCCCTGTGGCCTTGTGGTTAAGGGAGCTGTACCCCACATGGCCAGTCATCCAATCATGATTCAGATCCCAGCCCTGACATCGTTTTCTCTTTTTTTTAATTTAATTCCATTTGCTATTATTATTTTTTATTTTGATCAGAGAGAGAGAGAAAGGGAAAGTGAGAAAGCAAGCTGCCAGTCCAGGACTCGAACCATAGTCAGCCATGTGGGAATCCAGCGCCCTTAACCAGCACACCACCTGCTGGCCCCCCAGCCCTGACATCTTGAAAAACACACAGAATGTGTGTGTGGTGGGGACAGTGCCCCAAATCTCAGCAGAATGGAGAAATGGAAGAGGAGGGATTGCGGTGAGACCATGCCCCATTCAGGAGTGCTTTCGCCCTCTCCTCTCTCTGGCAAGCACACATACTCTTGGCAAATTATTAGGTCCTCGGAAAATTCATGATGCATTTTTGCATAGAAAAACAGAAGGCATCCCAATTTTTCTTTTCTTATTTTTTTAAAGGGGTTTTTAGCTTAGAGCACATGAGCTTGTGGGGTGAGGGGGGCTGTGTGGGCGGGGAGATAGAAACAGTGAGAAGGAAACTAAGAAATCCCCCCAAGGGGGGATGGACACACCACAATCCCTTCTTCTCTGGGATCTTGGGCATGCGCACACGGGCACCTGATGTGATTTTCTGCGGCTCGAGCCGTGGTCAGCCCTGTGGGAGTCCAGCGACGTAACCCCTACACCATCAGCTGATCCCATATGACTTTTCTGACAACCCAATAAAAAACAAAAGCAATAAAAAGAAAAGCTTGCTCTAAGGGAAGGTCATGTTCTTGAATCTCTGTAAAGTCTCACGTTTCCCTAATGACTTTTGTGTTTTCAGTTACTTGTTCCATAGCGGCAACCAAGAACATCCAGGAGATATTCTGCTAAACACAACTGTGGACGTTTTGCCTTTTAAGGTATAACTGTTTTTTCCTCTTCTCTTTCACTGAGAATTAAGA